ATACATCAGTTTTGAATATTTTTTTCATAATATAAAAGACTCAATCAATACATTATTGATGAAAAATATTGTCATTTATAGTAACAAATAATAGAAGATAACTAACTTCTTTAATTTACTGTATTTTAATTGAATTTGTAACATGGCAATGTTTTAGTATAAGAATGAATAAAAGGAATTATGTCAGCCAATATTGACTAAATAAATAAATATCAGCATCACGTAACAAACTATGACCCCCCTTCCCCTATGTAACGCAGCGTAAAATTGCCTCAAACCCCCATCCCATTCTTCAGCGTTGCGAAATTTATCGAGGACACCATAGATCATTTGACTTTACATGTTCAGACACAGAGAAACATATAATTCGTGTAACCCGTTCTTCATTTAAAAGAACATGAAAAATTTGAGAATGTACTTCAAATATCTTGGAGTCACGGGGAAAATAACTAGCTCATTGCTGTGTGTTTATGGACATGAAGAAAACACCAGCAAAAACAAGCAACAAACGGTATTGGCAATAACCTTTCAGGCCTTTCTGAATCTTTATGCCCGCATGGGCCTTTTGAATGACCACAGTAATACCAACACAACAAATACAACATTTTTATGAATTCATATATTAAAGTTATGATACAAGAAAATAAATTAATAAAAGCCATTATGTTCAAATACGTAAAATAACTCGTTATAAACCTTATTTTGCTTAATCGATATGCGGTATAACATTACATAACCTTGACTAAAAAGCAAGAACGTATGTGTTGTTCAGCACCACTGGTTACATTCTCACTACTGCTTATGATGTATAGACCCTCTGTCTTGCCAGGCCCTCTGATCAAAAATGTGAATTAATCCCATTGCAAAAACTATAAAAAAAATTCCTGTAACACATGGTGTAGATCCTTGTTTTGTGGGTCTTTGATACCAAAAGAGAGTTCGATGCATGATCAATCAATGATATATCTGTGTTCATTTCTTACATTCAAGCTTTTGTTATAAGTTTTCAAATTCATAGTTTAGAAATAATTTAAAACCTATTTGAGAATCGATATTTTTTGACTGTGTTGTAAAGACTGTATTAATTGCATTTTCAATGTGTTGATGTACTTTCTTTCAAGGAATTCGCATATCATAATTGAAATTAGCCCAATTAGGTATTCTCTCTTAAAGATACAATTTAAATTAGACATGAAAAATTGAGTTCCACAAACTTGTACAAACTTTTATTGAACTTCAATTTTATATTACCACCGTACACCATGGGCAGCAATGAAGCGGTGGATATTTGAGGTCACTGTTGAATGGCAACAAAATACGTGGGTTTTATTTACTTTTGTGAATTCTGTCCAATTGTTGGGACATTATTTATCTGTATGAAATGCAGTTTTACTCGCCGAATTTATGTTGATTTTTGCTTGAAAATATTTAATTTTCACACCTATTCTTCTACAATTTGTAACAAGTTTTACAAAAACATACTGAGATATGTTAATACAGACAGAAATTGCGGTAAAAATTGGATTATGTAACCCGGGAGTAAATGGAGAGAAAGTATGTGCTGTTTCAGCACCACTAGTTTACAACTTTGTTTATGGCAAAAATCACTACCTTCAATTTTATAATGAAATTGAACTGTTGATAGGTTTTGAAATGTTTTCTGAAAATGGGACTAACACTATATTTTTTACTGTCTGTTAATACAGACGAGGAAAACATTTTAAAAAAAATTTAAAAAAAATAAATAAAAAAAAATTGGGGAGCTTTTGAGCAGAAAATGTTTCAAAAATTTTAAATTTTTTTTTCAGGCAAAATGCATGAAAAATTGAACTTGACGTTATTTTAAGATCTGTCTTTAAAGAACAGATTTCATTGAAGGAAAAAATTATCTTCAATATTTTAATTTCCCCAAAAATTTCACTTATTCAATTTCGAAAAATCAGGGATTTCAACGAACATTAGACCTTCACCTTTCACTTAAGTGTCTTTTACGCTATAGGAGACCACAGTTTAATAAAAAAAAAATGCCATTTTTAAAGAGAAATGAAAATAATGTTGACGTTTTGTGTAAAGTTCCTTCAAAATCAAAATATCCGTTTGAAAATCTCAAAACTCAAGTTCATTCATATCAATTGTGGTATATCAGTTTTGGAGAAAATCAGTTAAAGGGTTTAGGCGCTAACATTATCACGGACACAAGGACGAACAGTTCATTTACCATCGTTTGACAAGGGCTCACAAAACATGAATTCTGACTATGCTACTTGTTAGAGGGTGTAATTTAATATATAATTACAGGAACATGATTTATCCATTTTTTTGATACCAGGACAAGACATTGTTTTTCTCTCGAAAGTTCTCATGTCCGAAAGGGTAAGAAAGTAAGTGAAAAAGACAGAGCAGGCAGGAAGGCGGACGGATGCACGGCAGGCGGGCGGGCAGGAAGCAAGCCAGACAGACGGGCGGACAGGAAGCAAGCCAGACAGACAGGCTGGCGGGTAGAAAGCAAGCAAGCCAGACAGACGGGCGGGAAGCAAGCAAGCAAGCCAGACAGACGGGTAGGCGGGAAGCAGGCAAGCAAGCCAGACAGACCAACGGGCAGGAAGCAAGCCAGACAGATGGACGGGCAGGAAGCAAGACAGGCAGACGGACAGGCAGGAAGACAACAGAAAGGCAGAGAAAAAGAAAGCTAGCGCGACATAAAGAGAGAGAGAGTGAAAGATGGATAGAAAGAGTGACAGAAAGGCAGCAATACGGACAAAGTCAGAAAGGTTGATGTGGACTTTGGGGGCCAATGGCATGGGCTGTCCGGGTGATCACAAAGTAAGGCAGATAGTAAGAACGATAGATAAAACTAAGTCAGACAGACACACACACACACACACACACACACACACAAAGTGAGACAAAGAAAGTCAAAAAGAATGCGGACAAAGAAAGTCAGACAACGGATGTCCGTCAGACGGAAAGGAGTCAGTCGGACAGAAAGAAGGTCAAAGAGAAAGAAAGTCATACAGATTAAAAGACAGAATGTGACTGCATATAAGAATGCATTATAAACAAAATAAGAAATACATTTTTATTTGAAATCATATTATTCGCAGTTATATAAATTAACGGGACCAAATATAATTTTTTAAGCAGACAAATATTGCCGGTTCTGTTAAATAACTGTAACATGGCAAAAACATTGTACAGGTCAATTTCGATAACTCGAAATTTTGATAATTCAAAGCAGTTTTTCATTTCCCACCGCATTATACATATTTTAAATATAAGATTCTCTCGTTCAAGTTTGTTTTCCACTTCTCTAAATCCAGACCATTGGAGCTGTTTCCCCCGGAACCTTGAACCTTGACAGCTCCTCTCCGCGCTATTGCTGTCCGCTCTGAATGCCTGGACAAGCGAATTTTGCATTGCCCTCAAGGACGGCTCAGCAGCCTCGCGCAGTCATGCGCTTCCCCTTCGGGAAGCAGAATCTTTCGTGAAAAACTAGTGCAACGTACCACGGAGTTGGGCAAATGTCTGGTCAAGTCATTAACTTCAAATTGACATTCTAAATTTGTGAAGTGGAGAAAAGGGGGTGAGAAAGAAAAAGTCTATTGCAGATTAATTTGGTATTGCTGCAAGTACGCTTACACAGATTTTAAAAGATGAAAAACACATACTTCGTCACTCACGTTTCACGTTTTGAACCTCAAAGAAAAAGAATGAAATGTTCAAGTTACCCGCAGCTGGAATAAGCACCGTTGCAGTGGCTGAAGTGTGCTAGAGGCAAGAACATTCCCATTCAGTATTCATTAATTACGGAAAAGGCACAAGAATGCTCAAGAGATAGGAATTAAGTGTTTCCAATCTTGTGCAGGTTGGCTAGAAAACGTCAAACACCGGAATTGTGCAGATTATACCAGCCGAGAGTGCAAGTGTGTGAATGGAAGACTGAAAACTATCAACGCAATATTCTACTTGAATTATTAGAGAAATACAAACCAGAAGATGTGTTTAATGTTAATGAAACCGGATCCTGGTGATCAGTAAATCAGCAAACCCTTTATGATGTTCAGGAGTGAAATATCTTCCAGTAGAATACAAACAAAACAAGAAGTCGTATGTGACAATTCTTTGAATCTTCACTAAGGGATGTGGACAAAAAATTTCAGAAGGAGATAAGGAAAATCATTCTTTTTGTCAGCAATTGCCCCGCCCACCATCGAGAACTTAAAAGCAGTTCAACTTATTCACCTTCCACCCAATATGACTTCAAAACTGCAGCCTATAGATTTGGGTTTCATTAAAAATCTGAAGCATTTGTACAGAAAATGATGTCTCCAAAGAGTACCGAGAAGTTTTGAATCAAGCAACCGGGTAACTGTTTTAAATTTACTTGATGCTATTGTGTTACTGCAAAAATCATGGTGAGATGTAAAATCAGAAACAAACTGTTTCCAAAAGGCCAGATTCTGCCAACTGGTGGAAGGAAGATACAAGCTTGAGGACTTGCAGAACATGGGCATTTCTACCCCTGATAAGTGGCAAGAAATTTCGTATCATGCAATGATGACTGTGGCATTTTCATTACTGTCGATGCAGAACTCACCATATGAAAGCCATCCTACAGACAAAGAAATTTTAGATTCCATGATGGCAGTAGACCAAGAGGAAGAAGGTTTGACTACATATCATAATGAAATTTAGAGTGTTACAATTAACGCTCAATCCCTCACTAAATATCTTAAAACCCACATTTAATTTTGATAACATCTTCTGGTTCATAAGAGGATTATAAAGCTTAATTCAAAAATACCATACAGAAAAGTAAATATACAAAAAAAAAAACTTGCTAATGTTTTACTTTACCAACATGCCAACTTTGCAAGAGGCTTTGAATAATGATATGGTTCAAGATAATGATGGTAATAATAATAATAATAATAATAAAATAATAATAAAATAATAAATTAATAATAAAATAATAATAAGCACAACAACAACATGCTTACTTCTCTTGCCTGAGAGCATGCGGAGCTTGAAATAGCGGATGCTGCTGACTTCCCAACAACTTTTTCTAACTGTGTAATAATTTCTTGCTTCCTCTGTTGAAGAGCTGCTAGGCTTTTAGAAGCCACCTTCTGAAAAACACAGTCATATCTTATTTTTAAATATTATACTTCACAATAGAGAAGAAATGATACTTGCTTTTATACTTTTACCTTTGATACTGCACATGAAGATGAATACATCCATGGTGGTTGAAGTGTTCCACTAACAAAAACCGGCTTGGTATTATGCTCCCAGGAAGAGCTCATAGTCCCCCCAGGTTCAATAGCTCGATGATCATGCGAAGAAGCAGCATAGGATGGCTGAGGAGGGGACACATACATTTGTCCACCAGAGTTCAGCACCAAGTTGTGAGGAGCACTGGAGAAAAAAATATGCTTATTTATTCATTTCTCACATCACATGTTTTGATAAATCATATCTTAAAACTTTCTTCCATTCCCATGGAGTTAGCAATTATTTATAAATTGTTTGATTGTATGGGGGAGATCTAAAAAAGAGCACCGTTTTCCCTTCGTTGATTATTAACTTGTTCTTGCAAAAACTAATTTGAAACGTCTCATATTGTAATATGTAAAGATAACTGTTCTTCCGTTTCGAATCGTCGACAGAATATCGTTTACATACAGTAGAAAGAGAATAGGACTCAAACTCGAACCCTGCGGGTGCCCATGTCCAATTAGCAACGATTTGGAAAGGTGAGTAAATAATGTCCCAGTACGGTATTTCTACTCAGAGATCGTTGACTAAGGTATGAAGGTAACCAATCTAGAACAATTGAGTTCTATGCGAAGGTAATTTTGAAAGTAAAATGTCATGATCAATGCCGTGAATGTTTTTGAAATATCGGTATTTCTATTCTCTGAGATGGTTTAAAGGCCAAACATAACCAATCTAGAGCAATGCTATGAATTCCATACGACGGTAATATTGAAAATAAAATGTTATGAACGATGACGTGAAATTTGAAAGCGCTAAAAGTATTCCAATAGGTGCTAAATTTTGATCCATTGATAAAGTGACATTTTTAACAAAAGAAAATATGGCTGGTTCCGGGGATTTTCAGTTTCTAAGTCCATGTCGGCAATCCGAAAACGCTACGTACTTACTGAGTAAGGCGTGCGTAGAAAAGTCTGAGTAATACGTTTGAGAGAACAAACAAAAGAGAAATTGCTCACTAACTTTGAATTTCATCTTTGATGCCTTTGTAAAACGCATCTGCTAAAGCCCAAATAATATACTATGTTTACATCTTTCTTTGTTTGAAATGTTTACGCGTAGAATATTTAAAATTTTGGATTCGTTTGCTGGGGCAGTTACGCGGACTTGGTCCGGCCCGTGAGCAGTAGGCCGGAGGCCCTGGGTTACAGGAATGTCAAGTTCATTGCAGATTTAATTTCCACAATCTTTCAAAAGTTCCGCAATAACTATTATCTTCGAACATCAACCAAAATGTTTGCAGTCACATCTACGCAAAGTCTATAAAACCCATTCTAGGAGGTAATCCTTCAGAGGCCAATGTCACTTGCTGATAGGTATCAAGGTTTCATGCTTGTTGATATTGCATCCTGCGCGGACAATGGTGCTTGAATGTTCGGAAGAAAAGAAAAATACAGAAAAAATTTAACCAACAGATTTAACCAGAGAGCTAACATTATCGTATTATCGACACTACTTTTTACACTAAATTACATGTTATACTTACTTGTATACAGTAGGAGTGAATGATCCTTGAGTCTGAGGGAAACGATGACTCTGTGAAGCCCGATAAACCGACGCGGATTGAGAACCAAGAGGATAAGCCGCAGTATAAGGAAGATATTCATACCCAACTCTAGGCATTGGTACACCCAGTGGGGGACGTGCCACAGCAGTAGCAACAGGTGCTGGAACCTGAATACCTCGCGACGTTGGTGGATATCCTGAAATAATTAATACACATGTGAAAGAATGATAATATTAACTATAATAATAATAATAATAATAATAATAATAATAATAATAATTCACTACATGTTAAATGATACAGATCTGTTCAAATTATTGGAGTCAAAATTCGGTTTTCAAAGACTTTTATTCCTAAGCAACTTTACGCAATAAAATGTGTGTGTTCATACACCAATTTACTTATAATGAACAGTCTTACACATGTTATTGACTGAAACGTAAATTTCTCAAATGCAATAATATATAATGAGAAGAACCATGGTATCCCAATGCCAAATTGAATTAACTTTTAATAAATCGAGAAGATAATTATTAAACATATTTTTCTATAAACAATGAAGGGTTATAGCGAATGGGAAAGCGTGATGGGACGACAAAAGAACTATGATAATTGTACGCTATGAAAAAGAATCGTGTTATAGCCCGAACTGCGCCGAAAAGACTGACATTAGACAACGAACGAAAAGCATTATTGGGAGAGACGAGGTAACCGCAAAAAGTCGCCATATGAGTCGGTTAGAGAGAGATCGTCAAAACTCGACACAGAGGACGGTCACGCGTCGCGATAAAAAATTCTGTTCAAACGTTGCATTGATAAAGTAATAATTGTGATGGTTGCCAATTATGAGAAATGTGCATTTGGAAGTATTAATAAGAAATCCACTAGGGCAAAATTTAGAATTTAAAAAAACAAACTAGTTTGGGTGGTAAAATGGATGGAGCCTATTTCGTGTAACTAAGGGAAGAAGTGTTTGTGAATAAAATTCATTGTTCAAGCATGCTCTGTAATTTTCAAAATGGAGAGAAAAGACATTCTAAATCTTTTCAAGGCCAAGAATGCAATAAATGGTCATTAAATTTGAAACAATTTTCAATAATATGCCACATTCTAATTTCGTTGAAAAAGAATAACAATAATTGGTATTTCGAATACAATTTTTTTTTAATTCGTTACGTCTTTTATGCAACCCGACTCTTTAGCCCTCTGAGCTTTAAGCGTCTACACCTTTGACTAATTCTCCGTTAAGTAGTTTGTCTCGTAATGTCTGTCGATACTTATTATCCCTTCGGCCAGGGACTCGGCGCCGTTAGAAACCGGGATTCCCAGGTGGTCACCCATCCGGGAACCCGCGGTGTCTCGATTTGCGTAACTTTCTTCATTTCACGGAGCGTAGTTAAGCAATTCGGATAACGATGCGGCTATCATTATTTATGAAGCCATTCAGACTTTGTGACATGCTTTCCACAAGTTTAATGCACTTTAGCGTCAAAAAGACGCTATTGTGTTATAACGTATTGATTTTCTAACTCACATGATGTTTGGTTGAAATGTTCCTAATTTTCAGTTTATCCTTAAAAAAGCTCCAATGGTTTTCTCTGTGGTTTGTGTCGGAACTATTTCCGGGCCATGCAAATACGCTACAAAACTGCATTCCTATATTATGAACCGTTTAAAAATTCGGTATATTTATTTAATGTCAAAAAGTTAAAAACAGAGACGTACTATAAGGAGAAGAGCAATATGTGCATGTTTTCTTGAGCGCTCTGGGTAGTCTTCTCTAATCGTATTCATATTAAGTTTCATAATCAAACCCCTAAATAATGCAGTGAAACCTGACTTACGCGGTCAGCAATGGTAGCGGCAAAATTAGCAGTTTATTGTGGTTACTTAATTAAGATTGTGATGTCACTGAAAACTTAGAACAAATCTAATAGTGCTCTAATAACTATGAAATTAAATACTCTCTTTTTCCCCTCTGAATAGTGAATTTAAAAAGGAAATTAGTCACTTTTTTCCTTTTTTTCGTAATTCTTCAATTATAGACCAGCATGAAATTGAAACGTGTCCCTTAAAGTATGTGTTCTTTTGCCAACTAAAAAGTCTTTCTGGAAAAGAGAAATAAGTCCATGTCGAGTTTCTAATCCTCACAGAACAGAACTAGTTTTATCATCTAGAAAACGCCTAACTGCTTCACGACAACAGTAATAGACACTGAGGAAACGATAATTACGGTTTAAGAGCGTTTCAACAGCTAAGGTCATTGGCGCCGGTGTCAAATTATTTTAGATTTCGATTTATTTGGTAAATAACAGTAAAAAATGTATGTGACGTATGGGGGAGATGATCATCTGCACACGTTTAACGAGTTCCAGAACCCTTTCTCATCATTTTAACTATAAACAGTTGAAGGATGAGTACAAGTTAAAGACAAATAAAAATTATATTTAAAAAGGCGCGAGATTAGGAACATTTGAAAAACTAGATATTTTCCTTCCCGAGTTATAGAAGCTTATTTGCAATCGTAAACGAACTGTACATTTTATTTTTCTGCATTGCTAACAAAACTCGCCCATACATCTTCTCCTACCACGACAAACAAATAAGAGTTTAACAAACCGTGCACATAGTGAAGCTACATTTATGTCCAGAAGCAAAACAAGGGGTCATCTCAGCATTTGCACAATGGATAAGGTAAACTGGACAAAAACCTGATCGAGATGGGGGTCACTGACCCGGAAGCTGAAGTTCATTATTTGTTACAAACATATTAAATCTTTTTAAAAAAAGTATACAATACAAATGTAAACTAATTCATTATATATCACTGTTCGGTTAAAATAAATATTATTTTTATTTTTGATAATCAGAATAGTCTCTAATTGTATAGAAACAGCTATGCAGCAGAAAAGATTTTACTTTTAACTTACATTTGTGAACCGACGTCAATTGTTTAATGTCATCTGGCACTGCGTCGTAAAGTAACGTATATGTACTCTATGTGGATTTCTGGTAGTGAGCTGTTGATACTGACACTTGATGAACGTGATTTGTACAACGTGTGTTGTAATTATAAATATCAGTATTGCATGAAAATATGTTCCCACCGTTAAGTAAGTCACTTTTGACAAATATTGCAGATTCGTAAATATATAGGCAAGGCAGTGGTAAGATTCCAAGCTCAATGAAGAGAGGCTTGCAAGGGTAACGCGGTTGCGTTTTTTCATTATGCGAATAATTTTCTTTTGCAATCTAAATGTCTGAGTACTACATGATGAGTTTCCCCAGAATTTAATGCCATATCTCAGGCGGGAATGTACAGTTGCAAAATACACGCAACGAGCTGCATGAAGGCTGATAATTTGAATAAATCTGAATGCGTAACATAATGAACTTAATTTAATGTTCAATTCTGTTATATGCACATTCCATGAGGTCTGACAATTCAGGGACCTAGAAATTATCTAATTGCATATTGTTCGTTTTCAATCGAGCATGGGTTTGCTGATTTGAAGTGAAAAATGCATTTAATCTGTTTCTCCTTCCCTAACTATTATTTTGTTCTTACAAAACCAATTTGACCAACCAATTCGGAAATCGTATTATTTATTGTTTCTTTTTTGCAAAGAACATTCTTGTCATCGGCAAACAGAACGGTTCAATTTTTAATAGACGAGAGCATATCGGTTAAACAGATAACAGAAACAGATATAACAGAAAGAGGATAGGACCTAAGATTGAACCTTGCGGGATCCCATATTCAATAGGAAAGAATTGGAAAGGTAAGTAAATAATGTTCTTTCGTGCCAGTACGGTATTTTTACTCTTTGAGATCAATGTTTACGATGTTATCCAATGTAGGGCAATACTACGAATTCCTTAAGAAGGTAATTTTGATAGATGTTATAGTCAATAACGTCAAAAGCTTTCAAAAGATCTAAAAATATTCCATCCCAAAAATATTTTAAGAGCAGTATGCATTGTGGCAGTGCCGAACTAAAACCTTCAGAAAAGGCTTTTGACTCAATCAATAGGGAAGTTTTATGGCGAAAACTAAATGATCTAGGCGTCTCGCGTAGTTTTAAATGTGTTGTAGAGAATGTACAGAGAAGTAAATTTCTGCGTCAGATGCGGCGACGGAAGTACAACACGGAAAAAAAAATCGACAGGATTAAGACAAGGTTGTCCTCAATCACCGCTATTGTTGTTGGTTATAAACTATTTAATATCTTGAATACAGGAAGCGGAAACAGATGCGCTGGAAATTGATGGCCTGAAAATTGCCAGATTATTAAATACTGCTGATTTAGTTGTATATTCCGAATCTATTGAGGGTTTACACAGGATTTTAAACATTCTAGAAAGGTATAGTGAGACATGGGGTCTAAAAGTAAACATTCAAAAAACGAAAATTGTTGTCTTCAAGAATGGCTTTATTTAGAGAAAAAAGAGAAATGGTAGTATGCGCAAGATGAAATCTACCGTTTCAAAACTTTTACATACAGTGGTGCAAAATTTTACAAGAATAGGAAATGGAATAGTCACATAGTGGCGGCGTAAAGTAAAGCAAGAACTGCGCTCAAAGAAACAGTTGGTGCAGTGCGCAGGGTATCGGAATTGCCTCTTAAGGTGTGCGATAGAATGTTTAAATCGCTAGTTCTCCAAGTTATGAATTATGGGGTGGAAATCTAGGGAGTAGATAGGATAGATCGACTAGAAAGTATCAAAACATTATTACATAATTCTTGAAGTGTCTAGATTTGCAGCAAATGCTGGAGTCTTCAGAGAGGTCGGTATTGTAGGAATTTGGAACGATTTAAAAATATAACCCATTAAACATTGGATTAGATTAGCAGGTGAACAGGCTGACACGCATATACATAGGTGCTTTGGAGTGCAGTTGGGTCATTCCACATCAAATCAACAAGGGTACCAAACCCGACACTTTCAGATATTTTTCACACTTAGTGTTCCTGAAGTACCACTTAAAATACATAAGATGACCACTTCAGAAGGTTGTAGCAAATATCGTTTCCCATTTATAATGATTTGAAGTTCATTGGAATTGGGAAATAGCTGCGCGCATTGCTAAACCAAATTCTATTATCTTAGTCATTTTCAAAGAAAAAAATTGTTCATATATCATTTTACAGCTTATCAATGAGGCTTTATGACATGTTAAATAAGTAAAGAATT